AGAGTACTTTTACAAATAGTAACATTCCAAGAAACTTATCAAATGATAAAATGCTATCCACTCTATAAAAGTTAAAAACTATTATAATAACATGGTGCTATGTAAACCGACCTGGGTCCATATGGAGGGGAAAAAGTGTGACCAAAGAAGTATGTATATATATATCCATCCAACGTCTCAAACACTCCATCATTATCTACTTGGTATTCCTTCATGTCCTTAAGATAATCTTTAACATCATTAACAAAGTCAGTGAAGAGCTTCTGATCATGAATAAAGATACCATGTATGAAAAACTTATTGATGAACTGATCAAGTTCTTTCCAATGATGAAAACTATCCAGTTTTTCTAATAAGTACCTTTCAATTAACTGTCTAAATTCATCTATCCTTACAGGATTCGACACTTTCATATTAAAAAGGTTAATGGATTCCTGTTGAGCACATTCAAATACACCAGAACAAGCCTTTCTGAAAGAATTATAATTTTCACTACAGCCATGTTCAGCACTGCATTTCTGTGAATTTGTATTTTTTCCAAATTCTTCAAAGTGAATTGGCTTTTCTTTTCTTCCCTCTCTTTGCATAGTAGGGCCTCTATTGTTCTGGTTTTGTGTACGAGCCTTATACTGTGGATGTAAATATTCACTGAAAACTGTTGGTTTTTTAGCTGCTCCTTCTTTTGTAGCACCAAATCTTTTATTGCCCTTTTCATCAAAGATATTCTTGGTGGTATCTTTGAAATGTCTGAAAGTGGATTTAACTGAATCTGAGAATTTTTTCAGATTTTCTTTCACAGCTTCTTTAGCCTGCTTAATTTTTTCTTTATGATGCCTCACAAACTCCTTGGTAGAATTCTTCATGGCATCAAATGTTTCCTTAACTGAACCCAAAAATGTATCCTTTGACTTATTTTTAGCCCTGTGGTTTCCTCTGCTCCCTTTCTTTTTTCCATCAGTTTCTTGTTTTCCATTTTGATCTTTTGCCTCAATATACAGTCTTTCCCACAAATCAGAACGCTGCTGTTCAAAGTTTAGCTTCCGTTCCAGCTCAGTGAGTCTTTCCCGTAAGATTTCTACTTCCTTTTTTTCAGTCAATGCACTGGGAGAGTCTGGGTTGCCATCTGACTGCCTAGAGCTTAACTGCTGAAGTTCCACCCTTAACGTCATGGTTTTCAGTCGTTCTCTCTCCAGTTCCCTCCGTAGCATCTTTGCTTCTGCTAACAGAGTCTCCCTTTGATTAAGGAAGCTGTGTGTTTTCTGCTTTTCTTCTTTCAAATGCTGCTTGAGTTTCTGATTTTCTGTAATTAATTCAGTACCTGTCCCTTTATCTTCCAATACCCTAATCTGTTCTCTTAGTCTCCTTAACTCTCCCTGTAATGAAGACAAATCTTTTTCTTCCTTCTCCAGAGATACTCTTAAATAGTGATTTTCTGTATCAAGGTTCTTTTTCTGAGTTTCAAAGGACATCTTCTCTGCTTCGGTAAGGGTCCAACACTTTGCAAGGCTTTCCTTCAATGACTAAATTTTTGTGAAAGAGAAGAAAGAAAAATGTCAAGTGCTTTAAAAGCTGGATTTAAATCTTAAAGACACAACAAATACTCCATAAATTTTTAGTGTCTATTTCTGCAGAGACTATCCTATATATAAGTTTTTTCAATATATAAAAATTGGAAAATACAAGGTTCATATGCAAAAAAACATGCACAGCAGAAAGCTACGTGTTCGAAGGCTTTAAAAGCAAAAGAAAATTAGCTCGAGTCTGGTTTCTCTCCAAGATTCAAAACTAGAGATGGGATACTTCTGATTAGTGTTTCCCATAGTTATCTGAAATCCTTACTGGAGAAAAGGAAATAGGCCTCCTGTCTGTTGACTACAGGACTTCAATCCTGAGAAGGCTCCTAGAAGAGTGTAAGCAGGACTAAAGGCTTCTCTGATCCCTGTGTGAGGGATATTATTTTTTATAAAAAGTAAAATTACAGCTAGAGATGACTTTACACTTCAAAAAATTCTCTTTATATTTACTGCACTCTTAGAAGGAAAAAGATTTCAATCATCTTACTTGAAACATCCTAGTCCTATGCAAATTAACATCTCTAAATCCTGATAAGTCATATTAATTTCTCCTGCACTTTAAGGATGAATGAATCTTGGTAACATTTATACCTAATTCCCCCAAATTCAAATAATCTGAAGAAACTGTGATCAGATTAGCAATATAATTCCAAGGCCAGCACCCTGAATTTTAAAAACGTCATGTTCAATCAGGCTTACAGAATTTTGCTGCAGTTCAAGGTCGTGTTGAGCGGTCTCATTTTTCTTTCAACATATACATTAGTAACAAACTAAGCAAAATAGCAAGAAACTAATATGTTTAAACAGGTTAATAATGACTGTTGGCATTATCCAGTCAGTTAAAACACTTTTTATCAGCAAGATGATACTTAAATTTTGATCGATTTACCAGATACAGCTATTCTATAAGAATCAGACCAGAAAAATATATGATTTGCAGAAACAAGCAAAAAAAAAAAAAAATCCTTATAATTATCCAAAATGGATGTCTCACTGTCTGGTTTATTAATTTTCAGAAAACAAATTAAAATTTAAAGTTTCATTATAGTTTATTTCATCTGCTGTGTGAGAGAAAACAAGTTTCAGCTGCCCAACAGAAGTGGACTGTGGAGTAGAACAGAGTGATGTAACATTATCTTTAAATGCACAGGCAGAGGCAGCCACAGATAACTGCAGGGCACAATACTCCTTATTAAGTGCATGTTCTTGAATTAAGTGACTGCTAAGCATATGCTCGGCAGGTTTTCTATGAAAATCTTCAAAATCCAAACCACATTTAATGGCTGGAGAGAAGAGCTCTGCAAGAACGGACTCAGTAAAGATCTATACAGGGCAAGTCTCCTAAAAACCAGTGGCCTATGGAACCAAAAACCACAGTGCTGAAGAAAATGGCTACTCTTTTGCCCAGCCAGTGTGGCTCAGTGGTTGAGCACTGACCCATGCACCAAGAGGTCGCTGGTTCAATTCCCAGTCAGGGCAGATGCCCAGGATGTGGGGCATACAGGAGGCGGCCAATCGATGTTCTCTCTTATCGATGTTTCTATCTCTCTCTCTAAAATCAATAAAGAAAAAAAAATTTAAAAATAATAAAACATGCAAACTTTAAAAAAGGAAATGGCCATTCTTTTGAAAACATCCTCTGACCAAGGAAGGGAAAACTATACTATTTACAATTAACTTAGAAAGATACAATTCAGACATCAAGTGGGACTCTGTCTTATAAAGAAATGTAATCATAACCCTGTATGGGACAAAACATAATCATAGCCCTATACAGGATACATACATAAATAAGCTGGAAAGGAAATCTGGGAAAATTGAAGGGATAAGAAAGTTTATTTTCCTACCCCAACTTTTTCTACAATCCTACACCCTTCCCAGGAAAGAATTAAATAAGAGACCAATTCTTTTGCTGGTCCTCATAAATGCACAACTGTGTTAGGTAACTGGACAGAATGAATAGCACAGTCCTGCTGAAGTAAAGAGAGTTTTAGGTAGGAAAGTATAACATGCTCTCTGTCTCTCCCCATCAGAACTAACAAGAAACCAGAGGGGAAAAAACTGGCTAATTATTTTCCATGATCAAGGGAAGGGCTTAGGCTATAATCACCCCTCTTTCTCTCAGTGAATGAAAATGTTTTGCTCAGCTCTGTAAAAATAAAGTCAATAATAATATTTTATATATAATATCAATTTAAAATAATGTTAACTGTAAGTGATGAGGGGTAACAATTTTGGAATCAGAATTAAATTCAGCTTTGCCAGTTGCTAGCCTTGGGAAAGTTACTTTTTGAAACTCTTTCATCTTTAAAATGAAGTTAACACTTGCTTAATTCACAGGGCTGTGGTGAGAAACCAGCCCTGGCTAGTTTTGCTCTATGGTTAGAGCGTCGGCCTGCAGGTCGAGGAGTCTTGGGTTCGATTCCTGGTGAGGGGCAGGTACCTCTTGCAGGGTTGGTTGCCAGCCCCAGTCGAGGTTATGCAGGAGGCAACCAATTTATGTGTCTCTCATATCAATGTTTCTTTCCCTCTCTCCCTCCCACTCTATCTAAAAATCAATGGAATAATATCCTTGGGTGAGGATTATTTTTTAAAAAGAGAGATATTGTATGTGAGGTGTCACAAAAGTGACAAGGACACAGTAAGTACTCAATCAACAATTACCAATATTATTATTGATTTACTAACCTGTACTGTACCTGTATCTCAATAACATATTAATTACTAGTTAACAATTATTTTTTATAAGGTGTATTAGTAGTACACACCTTATAATCTGTAACAGACTCTTGTTTCTGATCATGTCGGGAAAGATAATCCTTCATATCAATCAGTTCATCTTCATGTATCTTTCTGACTAACTGTTGACGCTTCTGAATCTGAATTGTGCCTAAAAATGAAACTTGTTATTAGAGATATATAACACAGATGTTTGATTACCAATATTTTGAAACACATAATAAAACATTTAACCTGCATATATTTAACTAATCAAGATAGGATCATTTTCTTCAAAATATCTACATTTCACAGTTCTATAAAAATTCTGAATATATAAACAAAGAATGAATAAGTAAAAATCTCATGGTGTCATTCATCAAATGGTGGTGGATATTAATATAAATCAAGCCAAGAAGGGGGTGTGTGTGTGTGTGTGTGTGTTACATTTTTTTTTTTTAAATCTCTCATACACGCAGGGACATTTAAGCAGTTCACCATCCTTTTGATTCAAACAAGCCAGTCCACATTACGCTAACAAAGAAAATAATTTATGCAATGTTTTTATCTTACTCTATTGAGACACTCAGGTCTTTTGTTTTAATAGTGAAAAGTCATGATCTTGCTATTGCCACACACTGCGCTTTGACTCATATTTCTTCCTAAGCTAGTCAAAGGGTATGAGGATGCCCCCAGGGGCAACCACACAAAATATAAAAACGCTTCACAAATCTGCATGTCGTTCTTGCGCAGAAGCCATGCCAATCTTCTCTGCATTGTTCCAGTTTTAGTGTATATGCTGCCAAAGCGAGCTCTCGGGCCTTGTCTTTGAGGGATCTCTGAAGTACATAAAGCCCTGCATTCCGCCAGACAGAAGGAACAAAAGCAAAGAGTCTATTCACAGGAAAACAAAAGGCCTATTTTTTACTATATTTTGCCTATATAACACAAACCCAGAAGGTATAGCAAGGAAAATAACTGGCTAACTGAGATTACCCATATTTCTCAAAGCCCAAATCTTTTATGACTTCTGCATTGGTTAGATCTATACTGAAGTACCACCATCCTTATCCCAGCAGTGATAAAGGAATCTTAAACCAACTAGGATGCTATATATTTTCACCTTATTAAGGTGGTTCTCAACCTTCCTAATGTCATGACCCTTTAATACAGTTCATGTTGTGGTGACCCCCCAACCATAAAATTATTTTCGTTGTTACTTCATAACTGTAATTTTGCTACTGTTATGTTTTAGGCGACCCTTGTGAAAGGGTCGTTTGACTTCCAAAGGGGTAGCGACCCACAGGTTGAGAACTGCTGCTTTAAAATATAAAAATGTTAATTTGCCAAGACATGCCTGTTCACATACTGCTACATGCTTCATGCATGAGGGGGGAAAAAAACCACGAAATCAAAAGTAAGGCAAAAAACATTTGAAATTTTAATATTACATCTACTGAATGGCGTAGAATTATGTAAAGATATCACAGAAATTTGTAATGAAAGGATATAATGTTTACTATTCTATTACTGCTAAAAAAATTTTTAGTTTCTTCAATACGTCTTGAAAAACACTAAAAACTTTTGCCAAATTACAGACAACTGCTACCAACCAATTAACAGCTGACACTGTTAGGATCCACATCCTTTCTTTAAATTTTCCAATTTATAAAAGCATGGCAAATTTGTTTCAGTAATACTCAAAAAGAATCTCCAATATTTTTAAATGTTGAAATAAATACATCTTTAGTTCCCAAAGTTTCAGAAAAATCTTTCTTTCCAAACTTCTCATAGAATGAATTCCTTTGCTCACTGGAAAATAATCTAAAACTCTGTGTTGAACCTGAATTGGCAGTACCATTACACAGCATATGTTTGAAGACTGACTGTATGTGGTCTTTATCAATATCATTATTGGGTTTTGTTTTGTTTTTTCCAAGAGCAAGGCGGCAGCCACTCCCTGGAATTTTGTTTCCCCCCAACCCCATTACATCTTCAGCTGCCTAGACTACACTAAAAAAGTGTTACTGCCCAAGGTACAATGTTTGGCCTTCTGGTCATGTCTACAAGCCTATGTATCTGAACACATTAACCCCACTGTCAGTTTTTGCTCTCACTGCTGTTAAGACTTCTCCTCTACAGATCTCACTAGAGCTTCCAGCCAATATATCCAGCTGCCTGTTGGGTATAATTTTGGGGCAAATTCATTGGGGGGGGGGGGGGAGAGATGAACTCCAACAGGTTCAATTCTAGAATAAAGTTGGGTAAAAACAAACCAAAGTGGCTCCCCATCTATTTACTTTATCACAATAAAACTGTTCCCCCAAAACACCCCCACCTTCAAACTAAAGCACACTTACTGTGATTTAGAAAACAAACCACGCCCTGGCCGGTTTGGCTCAGCGGTTAGAGCGTCGGCCTGTGGACCAGAGAGACCCAGGTTCGGTTCCCGCTAAGGGCACGTACCTCGGTTGCAGTTTATCCCCAACCCTGGTTGGGTTGTGTGGGTGGCAGCCATTCGATGTGTCCTTTTCACATTGATGTTTCTCTCTCTCTCCCTTCCACTCTATCTGAACAAAATATGGGAAAATATCCTCGGGTGAGGATAAAAAAACAACAACAACAACAAAAGAAAACAGACTACCAATATCTCCAGTATCCCAGCTCAAAGTTCTGTTTTCCATTATCAGTCCAAAGTTCCTGATTTCACCAACCTTCTCTCAATACCCACCATCACTTTAATTAAGGACCTGATCACTGAATATCTAAATTACAAAACTTCCCAGATGACTATTCTAATTTTCCCATACCATTTTCTTTCCTGCACTTTTCCTCTAAAATTATTGTCTTCAGGTCACTCTATCCTACCCAGATTCCAAGATGTTTTACAATATAACAGCATCCCGCATATTCTAACCTTACAACTCCATTATTTCCAAATATCAAGTCTGCTCCAACCCAGGCGGTCTTCTCACTGCCCCCAAACCCCAAATTTACATTCAGGTTCTCAGGTTCTCCATTAATCTAGGTCTCTCTATGCTACATAATGTGGCACCTACTTATATTCTGTTATTATTATCTATTGAACAGCAGGGCAGCTTATCCATACTTAAAGCAACTTCTAGAGGAAACTGAATCAACCGAACTCCACTAATGATTTAGAATATGGATAGTCTACGAGCAAAGAAAGAGTAAAGAAGATAGGCAGGTACTTCATACATGAAGATTTTTTTTTAAACTTCTGTAAGCAGTTTCAGAATCTGACACAGTCCCAAATACCTGTAATTACATTCTCTTACTATCCTCAGTCATACTAGTTTTCTCTTCCTTCTAGGATAGGCCTGGAACCCCAAAATTATATGGAGCCAAAGTTGGTGAATGTTTTGAGTGATTCACTTAGCAGTATGTTTTTGTTAAATGATCATAAAGCAAATGACTGATTATAGTGTGCAACGACTGACTTCATGGTGCATGGGAAATTCAAACTGGCTCAGAAGTCAACTCAAAAGAGCTCCTCAAGTGTCGAAATTAGTGCCAGAATTAAGAAAAACTGGTCCCTTAAATAGTGACCTTGAAAAAGTAATAGTTACTCAGGTAAGTTTTTATGTTTACTGAGTCAGTCTTATTACTATATAAACCTTCTTCATATTATGTTAGTCTTTTCACATTCTGAAAAGCTAATTTCAAGAAGTACAGGAAAATGTTTTATTAAATATAATTACTAAAGTAAATTTTACAAGTAACCAAAATCCTACATAATGGCAATAATCCCTTAATTTTGAAAATACTGCTCTCTAAACTGATCTTGCTACAAAATAAAAGTTCATGCAATTGGTAAGGTTTTAATGGAATCTGGATTAGCATTAAATCACTGTCCAATTTTTCAGAAAAAGATTAAGATAAGACCGTCTCCTTTGTTACCTCCAGGTTCACCTGTGGTGGGGTGGGGGAAATCATGCAAAAAAAACCCCCACATTCACACATTTGCTCCATCTAGATCATTTAAAAAGTTAAATGTACATATTTCAAGTCAAATCTCATTACAATGAATTTCAAGGGAGGAAACAAATTATAGTATTTCAGTATTAAATTCAAACAGACACCTATCAGGAGTCTAAATACTTTTTATTAATATAAAGTTAAATACAAGAAGAAACACATTTTACTGACTCTGACTTAAAACAAGTATTGATTGTCTTTACTAAGTTTACCCTAACATTACATTACTTTGAATAATTTATTTTTTCCACAAATCGGCATGGAGTACATGTATTTCTTCAATCTTTATGTAAGGAATACATTGCCTGAAGGAACCAGCAATCAGGAATACTTCAGAAAGTTAAACTGTGGAGTATGCAGTCAAAAAAAACTAAAAGTAGTTAATATAAGGCAAACTGAAATTTGTTGGCAAAATCTAAGACATTTGTTTTTATTCTAATAAAGCAATGAGTGTGAATGTTCAGTTCTCAAACATTCTCATTTTTGTGCCAATATATGCCTTAAGTAAGATTCAATGGTTGGACTCCCAAATGAAAAATAACACCACATGGAATCCCTTCCTCTTTTCATCCAAGAGACTTTTAAAGGCTTTGCATTAAGATAATTAATGTACAGCCTGGCCAGTGTAGCTCAGCGGATTGAGTCGTCCCATAGACTGATTCCGGGTCAGGGCACATGCCCAGGTTGCGAGCTAGATCCCCAGAAGGGGGCGTTCAGGAGGCAGCTGATGGATGTTTCCTTCTCACATCAATGTTTCTAGCTCTCTCTCCCTTACCCTCTCTCTAAAAAAAAAATCAATAAAAACACTTTTAAAAAAGATAATCAATATACATAAATAAGATTAAAAGTGAGCAAAGTATAATGCTAAACTATAAAACAGTCACAAAATATAAAGCTTATATGAAACCTGAATACAGAAATAATGTGCACCAATTACTTGTAACATTTCAATTGTAACTATTTCAACTGGGATTTAAATAATCCTTCTAATAAAGTCAGTTCAAACTAGTTTAATTGTGATTCTAAAATAAATGATATGCCAATGATATGCCTCATGGTAAGCATTTCAGATTTTTAATCTTCTAATCATTCCCTTATGAAAAAAACATACATACTAATAATTCTTAAATTTCTTAAATAGCCCAGCTGGTGTGGATCAGAGGATGTCGGTTCAATTCCTGGTCAGGGTACATGCCCAGGTTGTGGGCCAAATCCCTAGTGGGGGGCATGCAGAACATCGACATTCTCTCTCATTGATGTTTCTCTCTCTCTCTCCCTCTCCCTTCCTCTCTAAAAAAAAAAATCAATAAAGAAAAAATAATAATAAAATAAATTTCTTAAATAAATATTGCTTAATTTAAGTGAAAACACTTTCCAAATGAGAAAACTGAGGCTCAAACAGGTTGTGAGCTTTTCAAGGTCATATATTTAATGATACTAGAATTCCTCATTCTTAAGAAGTGCCTCTACCCCATGCTATCCGTTTATTATGTTTAACAAATGTCCAATTACTCACCATAGAAATGTCCAAATCCCATGCTGACTGCAATCACCAGAGCAAGTATAACACACTTATTGAGGCCACTGCTGAAATGGCGTTTACATAACTCCTTAGAGGGTTCAGTTTCTTGTTCGGCGATCAGTCGTTCTTCAGATTCTGAACTAGAGACAGTCCTCTTCCTAGCACGGCGTCGTCTAAGGGCAGGACTGGGCTGATGGCTGGTTTCATCACTACTTGATTTGTCATCGCTATGCTGAGATGAAAATACTATTTTAAAAAAAGTAGATAAATTTAAAAATTTTAGAAACGGT